CATTTTAAAACAAAAATCAGTTGGCTGCACCGGTACACTGGACCTACGGTGGTATGAGCCAAAACGAAACATATTTTGCTGTGATTTAACTACAATGAATGGATCAAAAGGATGCCGATTTGGAAAATGTCTGAATTCAGACTTTGTCAGTCTGTCTGCAACACGACGACCAAACAACTTTTAAAATGCTTGTTTTCTGAATGGAGTTTGGTCGATCAGGGCAATGCTGACTTAGTTCATAGTAAAGTAAAACATATGGCTGGTAGCAGAAACACGTTTCCAGCTGTTACCAGGTAGTCCGACTTCCTCTCTAACTGTAAGGGGGTTGGGGGTCGAGGGTGGAAGGGTCGTGTTAGATGTCAGGTGATTGTGAAGAAATAAGATGAGTTCAAGGCATTGTTTCTGAACCTAGTTATAAAACTTTATTAATTTTTTAAACATTTTAGACCCAGTGATCTGCTTAAGTTCAATGGAAAAAATATTGTATTTTGTTTGTGAGTTCATTTGGTGGATCTGTTCATCAAATGTAGATATGTTGGGTTTTAATGTGTTTCTTTATTAAATTATAACACATTGGTGTTATAATTTAATGACCTTTGTCAGTTTCCTTTGTTACAGCCTCTTAATTCCAATGAAGGGAAATCATAATGCTGGTGGAAATAATCACATTTTCACGTTCAATAAGTCAATAAACACTGTAAAAAAAGGCGGTGTTGGTAGTATTAGAAGAAAATGTTCCTTTACAATAAACTGGCAGCTGTGGTTGCCAGACCTTTACAGATTAATACTGATTACATAATGATATCATGCCAATAGACTGAGGCTAGAGCTAACAGGTTTATTACAGTAATCAATCGGACTGTCAGTCAACTGATGAGTCAGAAAGAAAGGCAGCCATTAATCCTCAACAGAGCTCGGGACACTGAACTGTCTCTGCTAAAGTTCCATATAACGGTGTGTTACGTGACATTAACAGCTCGGCGCAGACACAGTCTGGTCCCTCTTGGTCCATCTGTGGGTCCAGAAACTCTGCAGGACCCGAAACCAACAGGACCACAGTGCCGCTCCGGTGTGAAAACACATCGACTGAGAGTCACGACTGCAAGCTGCAGAGATCAGAGAAGAACGAGTCCTAAGATCTTAAACCAGCGTAGAGGAACAGAAGGAATATGGAGTTTACATAAAAAGACGTTATTGTTACATGGTTTGTTCATGACACCAATAAAATTATCTGTATTATTGTGACAGAATCTTATCTATCACTGAATTCTGGTTTGACAGATTTGATAAAAATAGTGCAACATGACAAAATCTAATCTTGGAGCTTCTTCAATAAGCTTTAGCCACAATAAAGAAGAAATAATGAACTAAAAAACCAGAGTAAATACGTGTGTCAGCTCATTATTACGAAATACGTCCGAAACGTCCCGTAATCCCGTAAACAAGCAGCCATTGCTCCGAAATGACCAACTCAGTAAATAGTTTTAGTCCAAGACAAAAGCAGAAAGTCCTCACATTTGAGAGGCTTGAAAAAAAAAGAAATCAAAACAAATAACAAAAGTTGGATGTTGTGAGTTAGTGTGGGATCGTGGGAGTTGTTGTTTTCACCACCATTGGTGTCACTGTAGTCAG